GAGCGATTTCACAGTACCTGTAAAGGATCTTGTAGATCTTGGTAGCTGTTTTCACCTGTTTTCATGTCGGAATCCCGCTTTCATATTTGTTCGTATGCTGGAGTTGATAAGCAGGTCGGCTTAACAGCAAAAAACCTACAAAGCTACCGACTCTCTGTTATGAAACATCCACGGCAACTTGAAACAAGGCAACATACCGATCGAAATTGAGCAAAATAACCCAAGCAATAGCTCTTGGTTTTCACTGTTTATTATTGTGACCATGACATCAATTGTATAGTGCCAGATGTCTGGCCAAAACACGGTCCAAGTGATTATATTATTTTCAGTCTCCAGGAATATATACACAGAGTCATATTTACACCGTCCTCCTCGACGTCAACCGCCACACCTGCAGTCGGAAATAAAGGAATTATTGTTGTATTTGTACCCCACCTGTCCCTGTAGTAAATGATTAACATTTTGCAAAGCAACACTGTGACTGAGGCTGCGCATCCACGAACTACACTGAGATTTCTGCCTGCTATACAACAGTGGCGAGTGAGCAGTAAGTTTCCTTGATTCGCAGAAGACAGTCTGCCAAATACATCAGTTACTTTACTTTGTTGACTACTATTGTATCAGTGATACTGCTGATTGGAGGCATACGAGTAGTACATTCTCTCGTAAATCCACTCTGTGTCTCTTCAAAAGTGAAATCTATTACGGACTTTGTGGAGTAGCTCTATAGCATCTGCTTGCATTCGATTAGCAGCGAATAAAGATCCAGGAAAGTTTGGGAAGACGCGTTCAAGGAGAAGAAGGATTTTTGGTTTTGCAAACAAGATGCATGTTGGAGTTCCGCTTCCCTGTCCAATAGTCTGTAACTGTTCCCTAATAAACAACTCCGCAGCGAAGGCCTTCTTCGTTACACTATTAGCCAAGCCCATATCTATATTATACCGCTATGCAATAGCCTCGATCTTCGTGGTTTGATTTGAAAGCATTCAGATCACTCGTGATTAGTTCTGCGAAATGCACTACCAGTTCAAGTGTCGTTTTTCAGGCCCGTCAGTTGAAGAATCATCCATATGTAACCAGCGCAAAGTGAGTGCCATGCAGTGCTTAGGTATAATAGACCGCTGGCGAATATTTGATTGATGTCGTTTTTCAGTCCCCGTCAATTGAAGGATCATCTATATGTAACCAGCGCAAATTGAGTGCCATGCAGTGCTTAGCTATAATAGACCGCTGGCGAATATTTGATTGCTGATGCATTGGAGAAGTTTCCTATAGTATTACACGGTGACATGGGTTTTCCTGTTAGTGACAGGTTTCGCGAAATAGGAACTCCTTTTTCCCAGAGTTTGGATCGGTGTTATGTGACACAGTGGACCAAACTCCGCTTTGAGTGTTTGAGTTTACTGATTGCTGGTCATGTGGCTGTTGGTCGATATACTGATTTCGGCAAATGACTTGCGAACTTTTCGTCAACATACGTGGGGACATCGCCAATGCGCAGTTTAGTGGGTACGACCTCTTTTCCATCCCGCTTTATATAGCATTTTATGTGAACCTTTTGCCCGTTTCTGATATTCCTTTTGCCGTAGTCTGCGTTTGTGTGAGTTAATTGGTTATCCCAAAACCTTCTTTCTGGCCGTTTCTTACTTGGCTTTGATTGGCCCTCTTCTTGGTTTGAGTTACGTTGAGGTCTGATCTTCATGAGATTGATTGGTTGGTTTCACAGCATTATATTCCCCATTGTAACGATTAGCGCTACTGTTTCCGCCCGTTTATTTGGTACTTCCGTTAGTTCATTTAGCACGTTGAGTTGCTCGTTTATTGGGGCTTTTCTGTACCACTTATGAGTTCACCGTGTGATCGCATTCACAACTCAGAGATCTGTGGCTGTGGCGTTCTCTCGTTCTTAGCGGTTGGATAATAGGAACATTTGTGAAATTTTCATTTGAAAACCACCTTCATAAATTCACGTTCTCCTCTCCTACGTCAGCCAGTATGCGAAATTAGATTCAGTCAAACTCGTGTCCTCCCTGATCGTTGTGTACGGAGCTGCAGAAAAGTTGATCTTGCCTTTTAGTTGCAAGCTTCTGATCATGCATTCTGGAGGAGCACTTCCTTCTAGTTTTTGGAAATCTCACTCCTTGCATTGGATTCTTCATATGTCATTGTTCGTCTACATTGGATCTAATTTCTCCACTGGTATTGCTTATGTCTTCAGAATTTTCCTCGGAGGTTTGTAAGCAACCGTCGTATTGTGTCGTCGTAAGAGCCCTGCCATTAATTCAGCAGCGTTCTTGATTGTTGGGAGTGTAAACTGTTTGTTTCCATTTTGTGCTCTTGCACCAATCATATTGACGTTTCCAGTGACTTCCATATAAAAAGCCTTGGATATCAATTTCTCTGCTTCAATTTCTATAAACGTTTTTCTTTTTTTTTGCCCATCAGTTGGTCACAATGCGATTGAAAAATATTCAAAAACCACTTATGTTTGTGACAATTTGAATAGATACTGTCGAAGTTTAGGATTTGTTCAGTTTTCGCCGGCTTTCTGAGGATCTCAGTTTGGAACGGTCAGTTCGGAAATCTGCTGATAATAACGTACAGAAATGAAAGTTATGCGCCGTTTTATTCTTTGATTGCGAATCTGATGTCATCGAAATCGTTGTTTAGTGTTTAGCTTACTCGTTGCAGTTGGGTATATTTGGTGATAGTGAGATCGTCGTCCACGTAGTGGATCCACGTTTTGAAATTTGTCGGACAACAGAAATTTTTGTAATTTTCACGAACCCATTGGTACTCCCCGTAGTTGTCCGTTGAACCTAAAATGTGTGATCGGGTAAGACGAGTAATCAACAAAAGTCTTCTTTCTCCGGCAATCCAGTTGACACGCAGCTGCTGTCAAACACAGTTGTCTTGACGGAATCGTGGTCTAGAGCCAGGAATGGTTAGATCGCACAAAATGAGGCCACTATTTTGTCCTGTTCGATGTTTACGTTCTTCGGTTTCTCCAAAGATTGTCTGTTATCGCCGTCTCTGGAGCAGTGAACTACAATCTTCTAAACGCTCAACANAATTTATATGTGTTTTTCATGTTGTCATCGTACTCTTTCGTATATTTCAGTGACGTCCTGTTTGTGAAAACCTTTCAGAAGTTTCTACCCATATAAGTAATCGGCGGCAGTAAAATTCGATTGCCCGGCTGCCTTTATCACATAGGCTAGAAATCCTAAGTTTGACTGAAGCTCTGTTAGAAAAAGTGACCATCGTTTGGTATATAGCTGCTGCTAGCAGTCACTTTCAAAATAACTAGAAAGATATTTTTACGTTTGTCTACTTTTGCCCCATTAGCGAAGCGGGCCAAATAAGGCTGGTGCTCACACACGCATTTTATTGTGGCATAACAATTTGGAGGGTTCTGAACATCTAACAAACTGGTGACGTCTAATTCAGGTTGAATTCACGCGCAAACATAGAGTTTCGCCAGAAACTTCTTATTGTGGCATAAAAATTTGGAGAATTCTGAACATCCAACAAACTGGTGACGTCTAATTCAGGTTGAATTCACGCGCAAACATAAAGTTTCGCCAGACACTTCTACGGACCATTGATGATATATTATTTTGCCGAATGGTCACCATCCCCCTACACCTGCTTCCTGTCTTTAAAATATAATACGTAGAGGATACTGATAGGATAAGTTAACTAGACAACCAAAAAGAGGTAACGTTAAACAGCCATTTGTTCATCGGCTAAACTAGAACTCTGTCGGCAAAATTTGTTTCTTGTAGTGTGCAATCATACTGAATGAGCAACTTCACTTACCAAATAACAGTTTGGCTGCATAGAGAAAAATTCATGTCTCTTTAATGTAAAATGTTTAATGGCCACTTAAATTTGCTTGTAACATTGGTTGACGTTACAACCTGTACATTCTGTCAGCTTATCTACTATCAGTGACACATTACCCGTAACACTACCGATTCATATTTCTCGGTTTATCTGGTCGAACCCTGCGCCCAGAATACGTTTTTTCAGCCAGAATTGGAGAACATTGCTGAAGTATCATTTGCGTATGATAGAGTGTTAAATCTGATCTTCGGTTATCTCCGAAGAACAAAATAGTGTTTTAGACTTGTCGGTGTATTGAAAGCTCCTGCAGATCATGCCGGCAAAATAAAAGACCTTTTTAGTAAACAGCTCCGGACTATCGTATGGTTTGAACAAAAAGCCAACGTTTTTAGCTGTTCCATGCATTTTTCGTTCGACTATTTCAGCCAATTTGAATAAATACAAGTTATCAGGTAATAAAGAAGGAAAATATCTACTACTCGGAGTAAAAACACAAAATCTCGAAAAGGTGAGAACTACTCGGCAATTTTCATTGACATTGAGGTAGATTTCCAGAAGGACCAGTTATCAGGGACCACACGATGGGCTTTACTTGAGATAGACACCCACAATCTTGTGGCCTAATAGTTAGTTTTGTTTGCTGCAGACACTGATGTGTGAATGTCCTCAAATTATTGGCTTCTACCCTTATCATAAGAAAACATTTTCATATAATGATCTAAATGCCTCTCAGGAGATTGCTTGCTTGTTACTCAGTTTATTTGTATGGCGTCAATTTTGTTCAATGGAAACATTGGTGGGAATATCCTCTCCTATCACAGGGAGTTGCATAATCCTCTAAATTCCCAAGGCGGTGTTGTTTTGGCTTTCGCAGTGCAGTCTGTTGGTCGCAGATTACAACTTGGGTGAAACTACAGTTACAACGATTCAAACATAGGTCGACCGTGTAACAGTTGATTGAAAACAGGAGAACAAGTTCAATTTTGAATAATAAATCCCATAGGCGTAAAAGACCCAGCATTTTGTGAAGCACGACAGGATTTATGAAAATGAGGGCGCGCAACATAAAATAAACAAAACGAACGACGATTCTGGGTGGAGTATTTTGGGCAGTGCACGGTTCGTTAAAAACAAATCTTACCGGTTCATGGAGCCTCACGCCGGCCGAATTTTTTCACTGAAATGGTATTAAAAAACCTTCCATATTCGTGATACAAAGGAATTCACGTGTCATCGAATAGGCGCAGTTTTCTAAAAAAAATCTGTAAAACGTTAGAATTTGTGTTTAGCATGCGGTAGCTATTTGGACTACCGACAGAACTGTGAGTTTTCTATAGAGGAGAATGTCGCTAGCTCAGGTAGCGTAGATGGTCGTTGGCTTGTTCGCTGAGCTGGGCAATTTGGTTGCAAACGTTTCATCACCAATCAAGGTGACATCATCAACCACTAACATACCGCTACGCACAACTACGCACTGATGAGGTCACCTCGATTGGTGATGAAACGTTTGCAACCAGATTGCCTAGCTAAGCGAACAAGCCAACGACCAGAACTAACCATTTCACATCGCCTAATCACATACACAATAATGGTCCATCATCTGTTCTCTGTTTGTTTGCAAGTGCTATGTGTATGTGTACGTGTGTGTGTTTCTGCCTCATCTTACCGCTTCCTGTGAGATCCCAGTCCAATCAGCTGATGCAACATCAAACACGGTGACGGTGTTTAGATTTGTTTAAGTGGATCAGAGGAATGGTCTAAATTGCATTTTTGGGTCCGCAAACCTGAAAAATGCAGAATTATTACTTGAAAATCTGTTTTCAACTGAACCTGCTTGTCGAAAAAGGTTTAGGATTATGCGCATTTAAAATACTCAGTCCATTTGCAGCATGTTCGCATTTCCACAACGTGCTGGTTAATTATTAGTCATAGCTAACTGCTGTCTCTTAGTCCGGAACTTTGGTGTCAGAAAAGGGATAACTAATAAGAATGCATTGACTTCATTCCTCAGAAGCGAACTTAACAGTTGAAAGGCCCCTTGCTCTATATATCCAGGCCGTTGGCAAATTGATTGCTTGGGCTGGCTTAGAGGCTTGCCGGATTTTGCTAGAGTTTGAGGGTCCCAGGAGATTCCGAGCATGGTTGGGTTATTTTCAAGAGTCTGAATTCCGTGTCGCGAGTAAATACACAAATCAGTTGATAAATTACGTTGAAAAGCCTATGGAATATTGAAATCCCACTGATTTCACATTTAAGATGAATCTGAGTGTCTGGGTCTGTGTCTCCACAATCTTTCTACCCCGCAGAGGTCCAAGCCTCATGCAAACGAAATTGGAACCATAAGCGTAAGGTCATGAAGTTTGTCTGTATTGACAAGCACAATTCGTTAAAAAAAGTCAGGTAGTTTTAAATTCAACGACAAACGCTACCATTGGGATGAATCTGCTGGGTCGCCTGTGAAACCTGCCCACTCTATTGGTATCTACCAAGCGACCCTCATCTACTCTTCACATCTGATACACAGGTTCAGTTTCTGATCCGATATTTAGGGCCTAAACCGACGCTTACTGCATGCGGCTAAAATTTACGCGAATGGACGCTTATCTCAGACCCCAGTTTTCTCGCGAGGCGGCCAGTCTCTTCACAATATCGCGGTCTGGAACAAATTGTCAGGTTCGCTGTCCGCCACTCCATCCACAGTCGAACGGCAAGACCAAACACCCGTCGAATTAGGCAAGGAGACAGAAGAAACTTTGCGAAGTTTTCCGCTAGTAAATTGAGCATCATCCAGAGCAGATTTTCCAACGGCGTCAACCATTCTATGGAACCGCCGAACACCGCAAGACAATGGAGAGGCTAAGAACGTTTAAAGAAGTCCTCACAACTGATGCCACACAGGTGGGTTTGCAGCGTCAGAGAACGATGCCGCGATTAGATTTTAGACAATAATTCACCGTCACACAACTGAGCCGCACAAGATTTAGATTGGCCCACCAAGGCAGATCCAGCAGACAATGTACAAAACGTGCGGTGAGGAACGAGAGTTTTAATCCTATAGGTGTTTAGGAGCCATTTGAGCCCGGCAGTGCTGCCTAAATTCTTTCAGCTGCTCTGCCGGTGGCCCAGCTACAGAACGAATCACGATAACAATCACGCATAACAGGACCAGCGATCCGGTTAGGCCACCCAACTCCAAAGCTCCGCAACAACATTGGTATTGCTCATGCTAGAAACGCTAGCTTTGAAATAGCAGACCAACGACTCAGATGGCACATTGGCATCATTTAGCCGAACGTTTGGTGGAAATATATGGTGAGAACACACGTATATGAGCAATGTTAAAGCGAAGTTAATCGACAAATGCTGTCCCTGAAAGATTTATTTCAAATTTTCGTGAACTGTGTAGTTTGCAGGTCGCATTGTTCAGACTCACTATTTTTGTATTCATTTGAACCGGTATAATGTGATATTTCAACAGTTGTTCCATGTTGAACAAACAATAAATTTTGCTGTGTGCGTGGTTACATGGTAAAGAGCACCCGTGCCGTTTTGTTTGCGAATTCAAATGATGTCAAAACTCACCTGGACGAAAAACAGCTTTAAAGCCTTTAAATGTCCGGATGCTGTCCGAAATGAATTTAATCGTGACATTTTGTCGGAAAACAATTGGGTCAGGAGGATCGAAACCACAAAAGGGTCCGTGAACCAACTTGTCATCCCCAGTTCCAACAGTAATATGGACAAAGTCGTATTCACACCTTTCACCGGTGTACGATTCTTCAACCTGTTCATGGAAGAAACGTATACGACCATTGGGAAGCATTCTATTGTCACAACGTATAACGTGGGAGTTTAGTACGCGAATTTCAATTGACATTTGATCAATACATTACTCCATTTAGGCCTAGTAAACGTCTGCGTACCGTCTCCGAAATTCGCCAGAGGTTCACATATTTTTTTCGTTAACTTTAATTTGACCATATGGTTGCCCATCTCTCGTTATCTGCAACGCCTGAGGCTGCGGAATACAGTATTCAACTTTATTTCGATGTGAATGGTTTGATTTCTCAGTGTTGTGCGCCTATTTCCTGTATCATAACAGACCTTATACAGTTCAAGTTTGTAAACTCTCAATTCCAGGGATCCCCTACTGTGATAAGGCAGGGTTATCCGCAGACACTGTAATCAACTTACTCGCCCTGTGGTAAATATAAGAAGCCTTATCCCACATGAAGTTGTGACTGAAATAATTAGGTGGAAAATTTATGAGCTCGCGAAAGTAAACACTATGTGATGCGAGCAGAAATTAACTTGCATAAACGAACTGAATGCAAGTTCTCTACCCTTGCGCTTGCGAATGATTTAGACTGCTTTAAACTTTAATGCGAAATGAAAATTACGGGCACTGTTACTAAACACTGGACCAGTCGACAAAACATCTAGGAATGTATTGCACTACCGACAAGCGACAAATTGGCGATACAAGGTTATCCAATAACAGCCGATTGTGGCTTGTATATCGTCTAAACTGAGGCACCGCGGCTCTTTGAAAATACACTTTTTCATAATTTTAAACTGTCCCAGAGTTATGGCCTTATAGAATGTATGTTTTTCTCCTTTCTGATATAATCTCACCGGTTACTGGTGTTTGAATGTATGAATTATCAGCCATCTAAATTTGGCATAACGAGTGAAGTTGGAAGCTTACATCAAAGGACACAAATTTCAGTTCGCTCAAGCCACGTGGCTTCCGAATCTTCCATGTACAGTTGAGGTTATCGAAATAACTTTCGGGGTAACCTGGCGAATGAAACTGTCCAGAATACCCGTCCAGTACTTCGCCACACTTGAGATCTGGAATTTGAAAAGATGGTAATTCACAGTCAGATATCAAACAAATCTGGCTCCCGACCAAATGATTTCCTGCAAATAGAGTGCTTCTTTATGCAATGGGAATATCTACGGGTTACGTGAAAGGTTGGAAAGATGCCGATGAAAACGCAGTGCGTTTGTTGTTTAAAAATGATGCTTTCTTAATTATACCAGTTACTTTACAAGTTTATAGTATCAGGCACAGAACCCGGTGCAGTGTATTTTTGTGGAATCGTTCATTTTGAAAAAGAAATATGTGCGATTTTGTGAAACAACTGATTCCACTTCATAATGAAGACCAACAAGACATGAATTGCGTCCACTGATGAAGGATGCACAATCCCGCAAAGTTGCGAATGCTGGAGGACTTATGTCAGGGAGATTGTTTCTCAAAGAGGGTCTCACAAAAATTTGCTCCCTTAATTCATCGAAAAATTAGAGGAATCAGATGCGTCTTATGCGGTCGGTAACTTACCTACTGGCATACCAGCTGCAAAGCGCATTGTAACGGTGTTAAAGAAAGGGTGGCGAAAATGAGCCTACACACGAGGTAGAAGATTCGTTTATAACTTATGAAAGACCGTTAGGAGTAGCATTTTTAGTGATATTATACCCGTACAGGTTGTTGTACTGCCTGAGAAACCGAGTTTGTAAACCAGTTAAGGCGTAATTTGATTTAAGGCGTGGTATAATCAAATCAAATGAAAGTAATTGAAGATGTCAACTTTAGTTTTACTTCCGTGGTGAATTGCGGTTTGCCGGGTTACACACTATATGTTTGTACCTGAGTATATTTATCATTGCACACGAAGAATTATACCAGATATAATAAACAGCAGTGGTGAAGCGTATAGCTACCGTCGCAAAGCGACGTTAAATTGGGGTTCATCGGTATGTCAGTTTAACTTGAAAAGTAGACCGCGGCACTGCTCCGAGCGAATCAGCCCTGAACATATTTCAGTAAAGAAACGAAACTTGCTGGCAGTCTTCAGTGAATCAGCCTTTTGAAAAGGTAAGAAATCATATCACACTCTAAATCCTTGGAAAATCAGGCCCCAACCCACATGCATGTAATATAAGGACATTTATTGTCTCTGTGGTGCCATCAAAATACCTGAAGTTGAGTTGACCTGTTTTACAAATACCTAACGTTTCAGAGATAATTTTCGTTGACGTCACTGCGCTTATTGTCTGCTGACGTGGTACGCCATGTTAGTCGATCAGCTGGCTATTGATTTTTACCACCAATTTCGACAGATGACTTACAGACATTTTATCGCCATTGGCTAGCGCATCGTTGGCGTGCTGTTGGATGTGACTCAGGCAAACCCATGAAAAGTTACAATACCATAATTCCATATGCACCGCCAGCTTTATTTTGCTCCAAAGTGCTGATATGCTTACGTGTTATGAGCAGTTGTAGCTTACATTTGGCCAATTACATTCTCCAATGTACATTTTCTATTTTTTCACTTCCATTCTCATGGCCCTGTTGGGTTTAAATACTATATATATATATAGTATTTAAACCCAACAGGGCCATGAGAATGGAAGTGAAAAAATAGAAAATGTACATTGGAGAATGTAATTGGCCAAATGTAAGCTACAACTGCTCATAACACGTAAGCATATCAGCACTTTGGAGCAAAATAAAGCTGGCGGTGCATATGGAATTATGGTATTGTAACTTTTCATGGGTTTGCCTGAGTCACATCCAACAGCACGCCAACGATGCGCTAGCCAATGGCGATAAAATGTCTGTAAGTCATCTGTCGAAATTGGTGGTAAAAATCAATAGCCAGCTGATCGACTAACATGGCGTACCACGTCAGCAGACAATAAGCGCAGTGACGTCAACGAAAATTATCTCTGAAACGTTAGGTATTTGTAAAACAGGTCAACTCAACTTCAGGTATTTTGATGGCACCACAGAGACAATAAATGTCCTTATATTACATGCATGTGGGTTGGGGCCTGATTTTCCAAGGATTTAGAGTGTGATATGATTTCTTACCTTTTCAAAAGGCTGATTCACTGAAGACTGCCAGCAAGTTTCGTTTCTTTACTGAAATATGTTCAAAGCTGATTCGCTCGGAGCAGTGCCGCGGTCTACTTTTCAAGTTAAACTGACATACCGATGAACCCCAATTTAACGTCGCTTTGCGACGGTAGCTATACGCTTCACCGTCGCTGTTTATTATAGAGTGATTAACCCATCAGATAAAGTCTTCATTTGTACGATTGGATGGTTGGCCTCTACATGATTTTTTTGCTGAATACCATGTTCCTAATGACCAGTCAAATTCCCAATTTTTACCCTACCCCAAAGTTATCGAAGCGCTAACTCACACCTCT